GTTTTTAGATACCAAAACCTCATGATCTTCTGAAAGGAGTCATCAGAAATCCAGGTAATCCCTATTGAATAAAATATGTTTTATTTAAAGCACTCTGAACCCTTTTATAAGGCCTTCTTTTCTGCCCTTTTTCTCAGCAAACAAAATGCAGGCTTAGTGTTGACATGCTGATATGACATAGCTCATATCTCCTTCATAGTATGTAAGAATATAAAAAGTATATGGTATCTGCAGTTACTAGACAGAAAGGAGAAGTTGCCCTTGAATATCCAGACAAATATAGGATGCCAATAATTTTTAATCCCCTGTAAAGTGCATCCTTAATGGACATGCTTAATAATAATAATAATAATATAATAATAATAATGGCCAGTCTTCATGAACGAAGATTTTTGGGAAAGGTCTTTTACCTTTCCAGCCTGCGCAATGGATTTTTTAGGTGAGACACAGCATGCGCTGAACTGAGCCCACCCTTTAATCCTAAGGTTCATGTGCAGGGGCCAAGCAAGCTTGGACAATGGCAGTGAGGTCCTCAGGATGTAGGTTTGTTTAGAGTGACCTTCTCATAGATGGATGGCCTCACAGGGCTAATGGGCTCCATCTGCCCGGGGGACTGGGATTCGTACCTGGATCGCAGCAGTGAGAGTCCTGCATGCTAACCACTAGGCCACCAGGGGTCCCTACATGCTTAATAGTATGTTAATATATACCCTTTTTATTATTTTCATAAGCTGATCAAATCAGTAGAACTGGAAAACAGTCTGGTTTTGCTTTTCAATGTAATCTTGCATGCTCTTTAAAGACATGGTGGGAGAGGAACATGGTGAAGAAAATTGCTTATTATAATTAAGAGAAGAAATAGAACTCTCTGTATTTCTACATATTTCTAGGCGGAAAAAAAATCTCTCCCAATTAACATATCACAGAATTGTCTGCCTTGAAACAGTATGTTAAGTTTTACCTCCTACATAAGTCATGTTCTAAAGGGAGCTTTTTGATTCAGAAGACCTTATTACCCATTGCTACTCACAAGACTCTGAGTTACCCCCTTTACTTCATTTGCAGATTTCTAGAAATCCTTTTTTTTTTTTTTTAATGTTGAGGAAAGTAAATCTTCTTATATGTAACTTTCCAACTTTCGTTCAAAAATTGGTCTATGCTTACAAGATATGTAAAACCAAAGGAAAGTAAAAATGAAATTACTAATGTGGGCCTAATGTACTCACTGTGCATGTGCTGGACTCTGTATGCCGAACTTCCACAGTTAGTAGGTCAGATCAATACTGGTTCATGGATTTCAAGACAAAAAAAATTACTTTGGTCATCTGATCTCACTCCTCTGGTAGTGACACCTGGAACTCCCTTAGTATCCTACAGTGACTGAGCACTCTGTACTGCTATCCTTATGCAAATGCTTTGACAAAGTGAAGATGCAATAAAAATGTTAAATGTTCTGCATTGGCAATATGATCCAGTTGCAATGACTTATGGTTTCAGCAAAATTCATCCCGGACCTGTGCCCCAATGGCTTTCCCGCTAGCATACACTTATTCTGGCTTAGGTATGGCACACAATTGCAATTCTCTCCACATCACCAAGAATGTAAGTTTTTCAAGTAGAAAGGTAAAATCTCATGAGCATAAAGCTACTTCATATAAATTGTCCAAAAGAGCCTCAACCAGAAAACTGTGTTTATACCAGACCATCACTCTGCCACAGCATTTTTGATTTGAACTTTGAGTCTTAAAGCTGACTTCAGTGTATTGTCAATACATGTCTTCAGTCACCCATATATAAAACTAAATAATAGCTCTTTTCTCAACTCAGGTATTTTGTGGAAAAAATACTTTGGCTATGGAATGTCATAAATACCCTCTACATAAACATCATCATCAATCCCATCAAACAGTGCTTATACAAATAAAAAAAAGTGTGTCCAGTTACCACTTACAGCTCCAGATTTTCTGCAGTTACCTAACTAGTTCATATGGTATAAGCAGCATAAAGTGTTAGCCTGGAATTCAACATGGAATTTTGGCTGGGAAAGACTTAGTGTTCTTCACAGTAGTTAGTAGGAAGCTGTGTTTTGGATTTGTGCTGGACACAGCGTTGATAACTCAGGGACGTTTTTGTTTCTACTGAGCAGCATTTACACAGCATCAAGGCCTTTACTGGTCTTCCCACCACTCCACCAAGGAAGTGCACAAGAAATTGGGAGGGGACACAGTTGGGACACCTGACCCAAGGGATATTGCACACCACAGAATGCATATTCAGCATATAAAGCTGGGGGAAGAAGGAGGAAGGGGTTGGGACATTGAGTGGGATAATGTTTGTCTTCCCAAGTCAATGTTACAGCTGATGAAGCCCCTTTTTCCTGGGATGGCTTAACATTTGCCTGCCCATGAGAAATGGTGAAAGAATTCCTTGTTTTGCTTTACTTGTGTACACAGCTTTTGCATAACCTATTAAACTGTGCTCATTTCAACTCAACAGTTTTCTCACTTTTACTCTTTCAGTTCTCTCACCAACCCCACTCTGAGGGGTAGTGAATCAGTGGCTGCATGAGGCTTGGTTGCCAGCTGGCAATAATTCATGTCAAGGGCAATCTACCAAAACGATAGGTGCAGAAAATTAGATTGTAACGAGCAATCTAGTATCACAACTAGTGGCAGCTCCTATCAGGCTGTTTTTCGTATATCTGCAGGCAGCTGGCAGACCCCAGGGCACTGTGAGGACACTGGCAGTGTGAGGAGAAAAACCTGGTCATTGAGATTCATAACTTGTCATTTACTGAGAGTTAACTTACATCATATAACAAGCATTGTTACTGAGTGCATGCATGAGTGGAAGAAAACATTGAGGTACTTGTTTGGTTCAGCAGAAAGAAGAAACTGTCTCTTACTTTAGGATCCTTTTTTGCAGGTAGTCCACTCTTGGGACAGGGCCTGTTACTGCTCATCTCATATAACCAGTGTCACTGCTATCTGCAGTTCTTAAAACTTCTTTTGCAGAAGTTCTTTAAGACAGTTCAGTCTTGCCTGAAATGTAACGGGAAGCAGCCCACCTTAAAAACCAGATGGCATATCTGACTGCAGTGTATATGAGCCACTGTACTCCTACTGCTGTAAAAAGCAGAAACTGAAGCATCAGTGGATGAGAGCAGAAGCTAGTTTATCAGGAATCTGTCTTGCAGCTCTGACTTATGGAAGCCACTATCTTTTAAGTGATGTGATGTCATAGGGTACCTGTCAGAAGGTCTTGGTCCATGGGGGAAGAAAGACACACGACACGCAATAGGTGATGAGACAGAGAGATGTCTGTCTGCTCAGCGCAGCAGGCAGCCTTTACTGAGATCGCTAACCTCTACTTTCCCACACACACAGCATAAATATATTCCCACAAAAACATCCAGGAATTCAACACCTGCATATTACCAAACAGTCTTAGCCTTGTACTCTTTATAACTCAAGGCTGTGTCCATGGAAACTATCTAATTAGCTCCATTGCTCCCATGGAACACGGCCTAACTTTTGGAACACCTCAAACCTTTCAAACTTCAATTGTGGGGCTGCGACTTCACCCCACAATGTGACTACTGCATGTAAGTCCGAGTAAACATATGATGAAGTTATTTTGCTCTCATTTTTTATCAATACCGTAGCATACAAAAAACAGACTGAGGTAAGGATCTTGAACAAAATGGAAGAAAAAATGGAAGTAGAACACTGAAAGGCTATGATATTTCTTTTCTTTAACGTGTGCAAGCATACTATAGTTCCTTCTGCACTTGGAATTCAGTATGCATGAGTCAGCCTGTCCGATATCAGTAATAACAGCTATAAATTCAGAGCTATTATGCACTCATGTTGTGTAGCTTGGGAGTAGTCTATTCTACCAGGAATAAGGAGGTCCTGAGCAGCTGCTTAGGGTTCTTAACCATTCTCAAGCAGGGAGCAGGCTGTCACCTGTTCAGCCCTGAGTCACAACGGCATGGGTACAGACCCAGCGCTCTGCTCCCTGAGAAGAGCCCAGGGTCCTGTAGGAGAGACATTCTCTTGAACACTGCTGTGTTCAACCTATAATTTTCTTCTGCAAGAAATCTTTGCGCATTTGTTCTCCCAGCTTGCTTTCCACAGTCACTCATCTACACTGATTTGTAGCCTTCTTCACTGTCCTCCTCCTCAATTCTTCACGCTCATTTTTCTCCTGAGGCCTGCAAAACCTAAACATGGAAAATACATAATGTTGGGAGGATTAACAACTTGTAGTTTTGGCCTTCTCAGCACAGATGGGGATGACCAGGTGGATGCTGCTGGTGGTTATTCTCATGTGTCCTGCCCATGACATGGTTTCCTGGTGGCCCGCCCAAAAGTAGCTCTTTATGACAGGCAGTACTTAGAGCTCATGTGCGATGAATGAGTGCAATCCCAGAGAAATGAAGCGAAAGGCAAGGAAGGTGAACTTCCCCGTCCAGGCTGACAGATTCAACCCTGAACAGTGGCTGAGAATAGGAGCTAAGACGGGCTGAGAAAGTTGGGGTTGTTCAGCCTGGGGAAGAGAAGTTTGCATGGAGACCTCACAGCAACCTTCCAGTATCTGAAGGGGGCCTACAGGGAAGCTGGGGAGGGACTCTTCATTGGGAACTGTAGTGATAGGACAAGAAGTAATGGGCACAAACTGAAAGAGGGGAAATCTAAGCTAGATATAAGGAAGAAATTTTTAACTGTGGGGGTGGTGAGGCACTGGAACAGGTTGCCCAGAGAGGTGGTGGGTGCACCGACTCTGGCAGTGTTCAAAGCCAGGCTGGATAAGGCCTTGAGCAACCTGGTCTAATGGGAGGTGTCTCTGCCCTTGGCAGGGGCAGTTGGGACTAGATGTTCTTTAAGGTCCATTCCAACTCCTTAACATTCTGTGATTCTATAAACGGTGGGCTGGCAATGGAGCTAGAAATCCCTCTGCCAGAACGGGCTAACAGGTGCTCTCACACTTCTGCGCACCACCATGGCCTCGCACCTCAGAGTAGCTCGCAGCCCTCTACGGCCCCTAGCAGCCGTGTCTCCCGCGGACCTGGGACGGCCAACCCCCAGCCGCTCCCCCGCCGCCGCGCCGCAAACAACCTCCTGCGCCCAGAGCACTAGCACCCGCTGGGCGAGAGCCGGCAAAGGGCGAGGGAAGGCGGCCAGGGCCGCGGGACTGGCGGGAAGGGCTCTCCGGGAGCCCACCGAGCTGTCCCACCGTCTCGCCCATGGGACGGACGGGCGTAAAGAGTCGCCCGCGGGAGGAGCCCTCGCTCAGCACCGCCTCCTGCCGCCATCCGCCAGCGCTGGAGGTGAGGGGAGCGCGGCGTTGCCGGCCGGGAGGATCAGAAGCGGCAGCGGGGGGTCCCCGCGCCGTCCTGGGGGGCTCGGCCGGGCGCCGGAGGCTGCGGGGGGCGAACGCCCCGCAGGCGGCGGTGCAGGCTGGGCGCGGGCAGCGCGGGCGGTGCGGGCGCTCCGTGCCGTGGGTTACCCCGCCGGGCGGGCGCGGCATGCCCGGGAAGTGCGGCGAGGGCTCTCGGGGTTTGTCTGGCTGCGTTTTGTAGGGCTGTTCGGTTTGGCCCCGGGAAGCGGGGCTGTGGGAGAAGGCGGGCGGCGCAGGGCTGAGGCCGACGTGGCCCCGGAGCCGGGCTGGGGCAGGTGCTGAGCTGCGCCGGGAGCAGAGGGTCCCTGTCCCAAGTGGGAGCACCACCGGCACCCGACGCCTTAAAGGACTGGCAGAAAACGTCTCTCGTTCCCGTGCTTTTTGTGTGTGTGTGGAGGGGGGGTTGTTTTTTTTTTTTGGGGGGGGTGTTTCTGTGAAGTTCCACAGACTTCACAGAAGTCCCACAGAATTGTGGGACTGCAGCTTTTTAAGGAAAAACCTACCCAACAGCCTGTGAGAGAATGGTGAGGAGTAGGTTCCCGCATGCCTGAGGCTCTAGTTCTTCCAGGATTGAACTGTGCTGTGGCTGAACGGGCTTTTTCAGGTGCGCGCAGCCCATCCCCTTGGAGGTCCGGCTGGGCGCCGCCGCGGGGAGAGAGGGGCTGGACTGAGGCGTTTCTGTCCAAGACGCTGATTTTGCTGAATAGGGTCCGGCAGCAGGAAAGTCTTTAAATAGTAAACTTACCTGTTACTACCATAAAGTAGCATCCAATATCCTGCTTAGGTGATCAGAGGTTTTTGGGTTGTCACCCCTACCCTTTTCTCTTTAATGTTGTCTCTTTAAAGCTGAACTATGGTACATGCTGTTGCTTAAGGAAAACTTGATACGGATGTTGTTAGCTCTCCCGAAGGAAATGTAAATATACTTGTTTCATGTTGCTTCTAGAAGGATATTCCTTATGGTGAAGAAACAGTGGGTTTGTTTCCTTCCATTTAACAAAATGATGAGAGTTTTGTATTTATGTAAATATTTTGAGCTAACATTTGGATAATGTAAGGTGGAGGAGGGCTCAGATCAAAGTTAAAACCACAGAAACTCTTCTTAAAATGAACCTAACATAAGGGACATTGGCAGTTTGGGAATTCATGAATGTATACAGTAGAATCCTCTGGGCTTTTTTTGTGTCTCAATGTAAATTTATGGGATGTTTATTATGATGGAGATGCTTTACAATAAAGTTAATTAAATGATCTCAAATTTTTTCCACCTTCAAAGCAGAGAATACATGTTCTGAGGAATACCTAATGTGGTTGTTACTCTGACTCTTCCACAACATAAATAGTGCTTAATTGGTCACATCTCTTTCTCCACCCAGATACTTTATCCTATGCGTAATTGACTGGGTTTTTCCTTATACCTGTCTCAAAACTGATTCAAGAAAACCAAAATTGAACACAATTATTCACATCTCTTTTGTTTTTAAAGATCAGTTTCTAATTATTAATTTATTGAGGGAAAATAAAACAGGATTGTAAAAATATTCCTCTTAATTAATTTTTACTGTATTTCATCTCTTTACTGGATTCTTCCCTTCCCCAAATTACATAAAACAGGGAGTTGAAAATCATATTCTAAATCTAGGAATTGATCCTTGAATCATTAAAAACAGCAGGAGGTTTCTTTCACCAAGATCATTTGGTGCAGGTTTAAGGCTGTCTTTAGTTATATGTTTGGGTGTTCTTGATATTGGGAAAATTTAAATGTGGTTTACTGCAATAGTGTGTGTTTGTGGAATTGTGCTGATTTTTCTTAGTGTTGTTTCTTTTCTTCTTAGGTAGCTAAGGCATTTCTTTTTTTTACTTCTGACACCAACAGAATGGGCTAGAAACTACAAAAAATACTTCCTCTGTGGTCACATAATATTGGTGGTCATATACTATTGAAAATATGCTTACTGATTCTTGCAGTCCTGAACGTGCTGTACTTAATCTGTGTGTTTATGTTCTGTGTAACCAAGGCACTTTAAGTGTCTTGGCATTCTTGCCTCCTCTAGGGTAGAAACTGGCAAAAGCTTTTCCTTAGGCAGCTGTTTGTAAGAGGCTGCCTCCCCTTCTCCCCTCAGTTCACGTTTTGTTTTAAGGGTGGATAAAATCTGGCGCAGCTTCTGTGCACTTTTCAGCACCCTCCACTATACCGTGCTGTGCTAGCAATTACCGAGAGCCTGCCTTTGTCTTACACAACGGTTGAACAAGTGTGGTGTTGCAGTGTTATTACTTCGCTTACTTGATCACCTTCTGTGAGAAGGTGACCTGCTTAGTGGGTGAGGTAAAGGCTGTTGATATAGCCTACCTGGACTTTAGTAGATAGCCTTAGACACTGTCTCCCACATCATTCTCCTGAGAAACTGGCAGCCCATGGCTTAGGCAGGTGCAATCTTTGCTGGTTAAAAAAACTGGCTGAATAGCTGGGCCCAGAGAGTGGTGGTAAATGGATTTACATCCAGCTAGTGTCTGGTCACAAGTAGTGTTTCCCAGGGCTCAGTATTGGTTCTATTTAATATTTTTATTGATGATCTGCATGAGGAGGTCAAGTGTACCCTCAGTAAGTACACAGACAACAAGTTGGGCAGGAATGCTGATCTGCTGGAGGGTAGGAAGGCCCTGCACAGGCATCTGGACAGGCCTAGATAGATGGGCCAGGGCCAGTGGCATGAGATTCAACAAGGTCAAGTGCCAGGTCCTGCCCTTAGGTCACAACAACCCCAGGCAGCAATCCAGGCTTGGGGGAGAGTGGCTGGAAAGCAGCTGAATATGAGCCAACAGAGTGCCCAGGTGGCCAAGAAGGCCAGTGGCACCCTGACTTATATCAGCAATAGTTTGGCCAGCAGGACCCAGGGAAGTGATTCTCCTGCTGTACTTGGCACTGATGAGGCCTCACCTTGAATCCTGTGTTCAGTTTTAGGCCCATCACTCACTACAGGACAGATATGGCGGTGCTGGAGTGAGTCCAGAGAAAAGGCAGTGAAGCTTGTGAAGGGTCTGGAACACAAATCCTATGAGGAGCAACTGAGGGAGCTGGGTTTGTTTCATCTGGAGAAAAGAAGGCTCAGGGGAGACTTTATCGCTCTCTACAATTACCTGAAAGGAGGTTGTAGCCAGGTGGGGCTTGTTCTCTTCTCCCAAGTAACAAGTGGTAGGGCAAGAGGAAATGACCTTAAGCTGCACCAAGGGAGTTTAGATAAGATATTAGGAAAAAATAGTGGTGGTCAGACTTTGGAACAGAGTGCACAGGGAAGTGGCTGAGTCACCATCCCTGGGGGTATTCAAAAGATGTGTAGATGTGGTACTTAGGGACATGGTTTAGTAGTGGACCTGGCATGGTTATCTTAACAGCTGGACTCAGTGATCTGAAGTGTCTTTTTCAACCTAAAATATTCTGTGATTCTACTGCTGGTAATTATGTGGTGCTGTATTTGAAATTTATATACTGTGGAAGCTAAAAAGCAAACTTCACTGATCAAGCAAAATAAAATGTGCATTTAAAAGCATAAAAATGAGCAGCTTAATATATGTTTTATTATTTAAAACTCCATGCTGCTCAATAGCAAACTCTACACAAGTTAAAAGCAATTGAATGCTTTTCTAAATGAAGTCTTTGCTGACAGTACTAAGCAGAGATTGGGAACATGCTGTTCATGTCTTCTCTGCTATCCAGTGTTACTTACGGCTTGGACCATTCCTTCTCTAAGTGTAATTTGTGTTTGAATCCTTTTTGTACTGTAGCTGTTATAACCCACTGCTGAAGGTTCTTGTTAACAATAGGCCAATTGTTTGAGTCATTAACCCTTAACATTTCAGTCTCTCACATGGGCCCTCACCACTGATATTCTAAATTTAATTTTCTCCAAATAGATCAAGTGTCTGATTTATCATGGTAGATTCCTGCTATGCTTATGTGGTCATGTGTCTTGTCTTATTCTTCACATTGGTGCAGTGCAAAAAGAGGTTTTTCTCCTTGTATGTGAGCAAGAAACTTCAAGTCCTCCTTCAATGAGCTGGAAATTTCACTTTTTACCTTCCACTCTCCCCTTGTAAACTAGAAAACTATCAGCCTGTTGTGAGGCACAGTGTTTACCATTTTGTTGTTATTTCCTCCTTGCTGTAAAACTGCTGTTTTATTTGTGATCAGTGAAGTAGGGGAAGTTGTAGGTGTTGCAAGTGCCTTGTATATTTTCACTATTGTCTAGATGTGCTTGTGTTTTGTATTTTGAAATATGAGATTTACAGAACTAAAAGTGAGAGTAAGCTAGCAGCAGTTTCTTCAATGTGTCACAGCTATGATCTGCATCATAGTCAAAAAGCAAGTTACTTGCAAAATTTTGTGTGGTGTTTGTGTATATGCACAGTCATAGGATGCTTTTGTCTAATAATGCAGGTACTGTATGATGGCCATTTTATTAACTGTGCTTATTTTTATTGCTAGCTCCTTTAGCTCAAGATTCATGTATTTCGTGACTGCATGCCACCTGGCCAGCCCCCTGCATTTGGTGTCCTTTGGTTTTCGTGAGATCCTTGTTATTGCAATATTTGAAATTCTAGAGATAATGATATACTTTTAAAAATGTCTCTTTGAGGCCAGGGAATGCACATATTGCACACTGTGGAACTGAGGCACAGAGGCTGAAATTTCATCCAGTGCTCTATGAGAAGCATGTGTCTGCAGGTGGTCGCCCAGTGATGGTAAGATGATTTTTATCCTCTCCTAATGAAGAGCAGTTCACTGTGCATCATAAAACTCATCCTATGAAAAAAAGTATCAGGCTTCTGGAATTGGGTTCCACTTGGCTCCTTTTATCTCTGTACAAACTTAGGAGATGGCAGTTTTCTAGCAAGGTAAAATATAAATTGAAAGGTCTGTCTTGATGTCCT